TATAAAGCGCCCTGAGGCGACTGTTGTTGTGATTTGGCGCTGTATAAATAAAATTGAATTGAATTGAATTGAACTATTTGTGCACAATGCTTAGCCTTTTTATTGTATTGAATTCCAAGCCACCAGCATATGACAAAGCCCGCTAAATAATGTACAGTGAAATATTAAAAGTATCCAATTAAAGAATTCTGACTAATGTTTTGCAAATATACGTAGATTTACTGGAATTGTCTTTGTTTTAAAATCCTTGTTGTAGACTGCTTTTAAACTAAGCTTTGAGTCTGCCTAAATAATGACTCTAAATCTAGCATAAGCCAGTGATTAATTTATTTTCCTTTTTCAGATAATCCATTAGGCTTGGCAGGCAATCCACCATTTGACAATGCCAGGACCCCTTGGAAAAACAAGCTTCTTTGGCCAGATTTGAAAGGGATTCTTGTAAAGTGTGAGAACATCAGTTTCTGCTTGTGATTTGTCATCATGAAAATGAAGCACATCACACACTGGCTCTAGTATCTTGAGTAGTGATGACAACAGGGATACGGCATGTTTTGCTTCATGTTTAGTATTACTGGAAAGCTCCGTCTGAGACAGTAAATTTAATGTGGTTATGCCCAAAAATGTGCAGTTGTTTTTAGGATTTATTAGCCCATATCTCAGCACTAACAGAGTGCTGAGATATGGGCAAAACCAAATGAGATCCTTCTGATATTTACACTTTCGTAGCATGTGAAAGCACATTTGAGACGCACTATGTTCAGATAGAATTTCACTGATACTTTACCAAAGACAACTGTGTGTAATAGAATTACGCACAGTAGATTGGAGGAAAAAGAAAAGAGTTACTTCAAATGTCCAAGTTTAATTCAGAACTGCTTGGCTGCTTCCAAGCTTACCTCACAGGACTGGATGCAATGGATGTGTTGAGGGTCAGGATACCACTTCATCATTCCTGTGCAGACTATGCTCTGGGAAACAAAGCACACAACAACACTAGTGAAGCAATGCAGCCACAGGAAATGGATCGCTGCAGTCTTTGCCATAGAAAATTATTCCACACTTAGACACAAAAACATTTTTATAGCAATTTTTTTGAGTTTCAGTTGACCTCCAAAGGAAGGGCGTCAGTGAGTGTCTGATATACATTTTGAATATGAAAACTACTTTGTTGTCTGTTGAGAAGTGTGACTTCTATGACTGAATTTGATGGATGTTGTGGAATGACTATTTAACGGTGATTTTTTGAGACTACTACTATTCAGCGGCATTCCATCAGGGCAAGCAGGGCAGGCAATACTTGACTAGTAAAGCCCTAAATTGGACATAAATTTAACCGGACCCAAGTTAGAGTGTCTCTCTGCTTTTACCTCAAATACAACACTGTCACAATGCTACTGGCATCTTTGCACCATCCTTCACATTACTGCTATCTTGTAGCTGTAGGTGGTTACTGTCTCTTAAGCACACTTAACTCTGCTTCTCTGTGACTCTATTGAAATTTATAGCATAACTGGTTTATTTAATATCAGTATCCATGCCCCGTTAACAATGCCTCATAAACTACAAGACCTTTTTTCTTGTAGTTTGTGCATGTGCATTTTTAGATAAGCCTATGTAATATCATGAGCTAAGGGGTGACTAGCATGCTAGACAAACTGCTGCTGGCTCTGCTTTCACTGTTCTGAGATCAGTTACTCTTCACATTGTCGGGAGTAAAAGTAAGCATCAGCAAGTAAAAAAGCACCATGTGATTAATAATTTTATCAGTTTTCTCTTACTAACCACCGAAGCCAACGTGTAATGTAGAGAAGCACATTAGCAAAGAAAGCCTTCATGATGGAGATCAGCGCCTATCGTGCTCAGTTTAATAAAACTATCAAATTGAACTTGTGCAGAGCCTCACCAGCACTGTCGCGTTAATCCCATGGTTGACCAGCTGTTTCACTAATACACCACCTTTATTTTTCATTGATATTGTATCGGGCTTGGTAACATGACTGTTGTGTTATCAGCGTTATTACGTTGAGAACTGTCTCTCAGCTAAGACTCTTACACTGGAGCATAGAGCTTTACAGCATGTTCTGACATGAAGTCAGTCATCGTCTCTGCTTCCCTTTCCGTAAAAATGACCGCATGTCACTGCAACGATTAGATTATTATTGGATGTTGTCTAAAAAGTTGGGGTTAGATGAGAATTAATCAGTTTTAGAGTGACCAGTAGTTGGGTAAAGCATGATGAAAGGAATCCTACTCGTTAGTATTATTTTAGTGTCTTGTGTGCAAAATTGTGCGTTTGACCTATGGATGACTTAAAGAAAGCACAAGAAAACAGCACAGTGTGTAAACCTGGCCCCTGTGTGCTTACAATGAAATTCCATTCCCAGTATACCGTATAAAAATGAATAAAACTACATGTTGCATTCATTCTGACTGGAAGCCATAGATATCCTATTGTTTTCACAGACATGTGCAGTACATTATGAATATTTGTTGTCTTTTTGAAGTATTTGTCATGCGAGAAAAATCATGTTTTTGTACAACTTAAGGAAATGCAAAAGTCAATATTTTGCGGTTAATTTTGGGTGAGGCTGTGGTCTTCTGCCATTTTTTGACCCAAAGAATTTACAAGGTGGTTAGTAGACAGCAGACTGACTAACTAACAAATATGGACAGAGAAAGCGGATCCTCCCCTGTGACTTTCTGTGCACCCTGACCCAGCAACGGAGACCTGATTCCGAAGTACTTGAGATAACACAATCCCTCAAAATCACAAGGCAGTGTCAGAGATATGGCGTAAGAAACCAGACCTCAATCCAACTATTTGACCTTGGCAAGGGCGGAAAAACTGGCTGGTGGGCTGACTGACCACCCAAAAGTAAGACGAAACTGGAGCACTGTTTGCAACAGCATTAACGTAGAAGCGACTCCTAAGATTGAGTAACATGACCCGCCTTTGAAGCAAAACAACCCTGTAACTCAGACCCATGAGCTGACATTCCAAGTTTCTTTTTTTCATGGCGACTTGTATACACTGTGTATACACTATGAGAAATGTGTGTAATTCCTAAAAGGCTTGACGTCAACTGGAACCTTTACTCTCACTATCTGCCTGCGATTTCCAGTAATCCAACAAGTCCTGAATGATAACGGACACAGTCGCATACACATGTAGTGAATTTTGCTGGGTGATTAGCTGATGCAGCTGGGAATAAAAATGTTTTCTAAAAAACTCCTAAAGATACTATCTTGCCAGTGATTCAATCAGATACCTGATATGAAACACATTAGCTCATTCTATGATGAATTTGGAAAATGTCAGCTGCAGTTTGACAGAGATTAATTTTTAGACACTCTCAGTTCCTTACAGACCACTTGAAATGGTTTCTGTTGAAAATTAAACTGATATTTCTGTGTTTTCTTTACTAACTAAACACACTGCAACATATTACTTTTGAGCACATGTCATGGTCTCAATTTAGGACTTTAAATGAACACTTAAAGCCACCAAAAAGATCTCAAATCTAAAATTTCATGACTGAGGAGTTGAAACCTGAATGTAGAAAAAAAAGGGTAATTCCTCTTCAACTATTACTATTTAAAAATGCAAAAATGTATACAAATCTATTGCTTATGATAGCTGCATTACTTTTTAGCTACTGTTACTCTGTGTGGGGCCTCGTTGTAGCTGTGTGGGTTCTCTCTGGGTACTAGTTTAGGTTTACACCTAACCTAGCAACCCAAATATCACTCAGTGTTTGCTCTGGACTGACGATCTCCAGCATGTACCACATTTGTTGTAAAATGACAGCTTGGATACTCACGCTGAACTGGACAGGTGGTTAAATGAATGGTTGGATGAATAAACTCTCATATATATCCGCTTATAAATCACAGAACATGTATTTCTTTTTAATACTTTTAAGATTAGGCTTAAAATGTTCGTTTTGGCTACAGCTGGGCTGGATCAGGTGACGCTGAATCCTCCCTTAGTTATGCTGGTGTAGGCTGTAGGATTCCCATGATGCATTGAGT